GATCATGCATTAGCATATCTGAGCAGAGAAACCCCCAGGGTTGCCTGTTGCTTTTAAAAGGGAATGCGAGAAACCTCACACACTTTCAGGAATTCAATACATAAATGTATTTAAACTGTAACCAGAATAAATGTCAGCTCATGGTGTTTATTGCTGAAGCACAGGACTGAATTACCCTGACTAACCATGAGGAAGGCAAACATGACTGTGGTGTAATTTTGATTCTCGCTGGCTATTTATGTGTTTCTCTGATCTTACAGTAACCTGAGGAGCAGAAAGCGCAGGTCTAGTTCTATGTTCATCGTTCTCACTAACCTGTCCAGCCTTTCTAAATCCCCACACTTTTGAGGAGCAATCCTACTCAGTTCTTGTGGCTTGTAGACCTTGAACTTCAGTCTACAGGCCAACTAAGAGGGCAGGACAGCACCTGCGGGCTATAAAGGACAGGGAGAATCAGGTACAGAAAGGTACCCAGTGACTGACATCTCCAGGATCAGAGAGTTGGACCCAGAGGAACTGTGAGAGGGCCAAAGGGAATGAAGGATGCTCTCTTGGCAGGGATGTTCGCTGCTAAATATGATCTCCAGGCACAAAAGCTGTGGGGGTTCCCACTGGGAAGAGTGGGGATGCATTCCAGGTAGAAGGGCTGGGCTGGGTGTCCTGAGATGAGGATAGGAGAGGACTGTACCGGGAAGCCGGGGCCTGGTAGGAGATACCCGGGCTGTATGTTGCATGTACTTGTTTGGACTATGCGGGGGGGATTCTGGACTAGAGTTGTGGGACTTTTTTTGTGAATTATGTGCACAGACTTCTATAATAAGTTAACCCCACAAAGGCCATCTGTATTAAGAGAGGCTGTTTGGCGGGATTCTGAATGGGGAAACTGAGGCAGGTTCACCTGTCATGCCATGGCCTGTCGAAGCAGGGTCACCCTATGACACTTTACTTTGTTATTTTGTGAACTAGATGCATATGATAGAGAACACTTTCACAAGAGCTCTGATGTATGTAATTGCACGCAGCATTGTGTATGCCTTGGATATGTCACAGAACAAGAGTCTGAAAGCTTAGAGGTGTGGGGACCCCATATACAGCAATTATGCTTCCTGAAGTGTTTAGTATTTTGTCTCAAGTGGTAAGAAGTCCTGACATGTGGCTGTAGTTGATACTGACAGTTCGACTCTTGGTAGGTCAATTAGATGAGTCCCCACCTAATCCCTATCTTATAAAATGATTTTTGAGCTGCTATATTTGACATCCCTGTGTGGAGTACAAAGGTATCTTCAAAGAAGCAAAAGTGCCATACCTGCTGGCTATTTCCCCTTGACGTGCAGACGCCCAAATCCTGGAACATGCCTTGGAGACAGATTGCGTAATTAGCGGGGTGTGTGGGGGTATAATTGAACAGAGTGTTGCGACCTTCCTAGTAATTTAATGTGCAAGCTTTGATATTCCCCTCCCTCCCAACCCCATGTTTGGTTTTAAGTTTATGGGAAGTGAGATAAGAGCAGGTTAACTGTTTTTGCTCTTTAGAAGAGCTCAGGAAACATGTAATGGAAATCTGAGGTTTCTTACTAGACAAGGGTTTGGGTGCCTGCCTACTGATGACTGTCGTAGCACAAGGCAATTGCCATGCCGAAGTGGGAAAGACTTCTGTTGATACATAGTTATCGCAAGGTGCACAGGCTCCTGCACAAGCCCACTGTGCTGACTGTTGACTAGATGAGGCATGGTAGCGGGTAACTGCTGCTGCTCTGGACAGCTTGTGTCTTGTAACTCCTTGTTTCCATCTGCTTCTACCAGTCTGCAGGCTGCTGCTACATTGTGGGGGCAGCTCTTACATCTCCTCCCGACTGGACCTGCCAGTCATGGCCCACAGAAGAGCTAGGGCAGGGGTTCTCAACGTTTTTCTTTCAGAGTCCCCCGCAACATGATAGAAGCCGGCCCACCTGTGCCACAACAACTGGTTTTCTGCATATAAAAGCCAGGGCCGACATTAGGGGGTAGCTAGCAGGGCAATTGCCTGGGACCCCTGGCCACAGCGGGCCCTGTGAAGCTAAGTTACTCAGGCTTTGGCTTCAGCTGCAGGTGTCAGGGCTCTGGGCTTCAGCCGCATGCAGTGGGGCTTCAGCTTTCTGCCCTGGGCCCCAGCGAGTCTAACACTGGCCCTGCTTGGAGGACCCCCTGAAACGGCTCACGGCCCCCCAGAGGGCCCCAGACCCCTGGTTGAGAACCAGTCAGCTAGGGGATGTCAACAGGACTGGAACTGCCAGTAGGAGAGGAGTGCCCCTGGGGGAAGGGAACAAGGAAGTTGCATGCCATGTCCGTGGGGAACGGGACATGTTGCAGAGCAGCAGCTGGGAAGAGAGGAACAGAATAAAACACTTATTGGGTATATACAGCTGAAATGACCCATTTCCCATTATGACTTTTTCATAGCTGGAGTTGCTACAGGGATCTTGTGTGACACTGGGGGCTAGTTGACACTAGAAGTGCTACAGCAGCACAGCTGCACCGATGTAGCTGCGCCACTCTACCAGTCTGGTGAAGATGCTGTATGCCAGTGAGAGAGCGAGCGAGCAGAAGAGTGCAAAGGGCTGGGTTTTGAGGTGTCTAGCGAGGGAAATAGCATCAGCATCAGACGTATTGAGTTTTTGCCATGTCGGCCCATCTGTGCGCGTGCTAAGTGGTTTGAGTGGGCAGGCTGTGCAATTAGACGTTCATGCATAGGCCGAGCAGGTAAAAGGTTGATAACTCTGTGGATCCCTGGCCTTTTCCTCCACGTTGCTCCAGTCGCCTGCACCTCTGGCTGCACGGCTTGCTCCCGTGCTGTGCTCTCTTTGCGTGTGTGTGACCTTTCCAAAGGAGTTAACTAGGCTTGTAGGACTAATTACTGTTGACTGTGTCTAGTGCCCTTACTGCTCCATTTATGGCCTAATATTTGGGGCTGTGTACCACTTGCACTAGGTGTTCTGATTCTTTCCCTTTCCTGCAGGCCTCCTTTGGGTGGGGTGCTTTCATTATCTAGGTGGTCTGAAGGGCCCAGTGCTGGTTGGATGTTGGTATGGTATTAGTAGCTGGTAGTCTTTGGTCTGCCATTTTTAAGTTAAGTCAAACTCATCTGCCACCATCTGTGCTGCATAATGGAAAGCACAGAACTTTGCCGTACCGCTTTTCAGTCTATCTGCCTTCTGTGTGTCATTCCTGACAGGTGTATGTATCTCCTAAAACAGGGTCTCTGTTCTTGGTTTTCTTAGAGCAGTGGTCTCCAACCTTTTTTACGCCCAAGATCACTTTTTGAATTTAAGGGCAACCCAGGATCTCTCCGTCACTCACTCTCCCCCACCCTCACTCACTTTCACAGGGTTGGGGTTCAGGAGGGGTTGCGAGCTCTAGTCTGGGGCCCAGGGGTTTGCAGTGTGGGAGGTGGCTCTGGGCTGAGCCTGGGACAGGGGGTTGGGGTGCAGGAGGAGGTGAGGGGTGCAAGCTCTGGGAGGGAGTTTGGGTGCTGGAGAGGGCTCTGGGCTGGGGCAGAGTGTTGGGGTGCAGGAGGGGGTACAGGGTGCTTGCTCTGGGAGGGGGGTCAGGGCTGGCGCTTTGGGGTGCAGAAGGAGGTTCGGGATGCTGGCTCCGGGAGAGGGGGTTGGGGTGTGACCTCCGGCAGCTCCTGGTCCCTGCTTACCTCGGTCTCGCACCACTCCTGGAAAGCGCCAGTGTGCCCCTGTGGGGAGTGGGGGGGTGTGGGCAGCACATGGTTCCGCACGCTGCCCCTCTCTGCAAGCATCACCCCTGCAGCTCCCATTGGCCACAGCTCCCCATTCCCGGCCAATGGGAGCTGCGGGGGCGGTGCTTAAAGGCAGGAGCAGCATGCGGAGGGAGACCCCTGCCCCGTACTGGCTGCTTTCAGGAGCGGCGTGGGGCTGGGGCAGGCAGGGAGCCTGTCTTAGTGGCAGCCCTGCTGCGCAGCCGGAGATCGCGATCGACCGGTTGGTGACCACTGTCTTAGAGTAATCAAATGCCAGCAGTTCTCCACTAGTAAATATCCTAAAGTAGCACACCCCTGGGTGTGCATTATAGAGGAAAGCTCAGGGAACAAACTTCAGTTCCCTGAGTCCACTTGGCTGTCAAAAGCTGTGTGAAGAGGACTTGAAACCTAAGGATACCTAAGGAGAAATAACTTAACAGTGCCATTTCAATCACTTTTCCCATGGTTGTAATGAGATAGTGGTTGCATGGGGCAAACCATGCTTTGTGTGCCATAGTGGTGAGGAAGGGACCCAGTCTTTGAATGTCTGTGTTTCGTACTTTGAGGAGACAAGCTCTGAATAGCAGTGACTGATGCTGGGAGTGGATGTGTCACCACCTTTCTCCTGAAATGTAAACTTGAAAACAAATATCAGACTTTTCAGAACACGTTTCAACAAGATCTTAGTCATTAGCCACAGTTTTAAATGGGGGATATTGGTGATAATGCTGGCCAGGCCAGGACAGGAGAAGTCTGTTGGTCAAATAGACGTTAGCATGTATTGCACAAGAATAGTGTCTTGCACATGATAAGTAATTTGCTGCTACTGATGTGCCATCTTACTACTTTTATTGCATTAGTAGCTGACGGCCCCATTCAGGTTCTGTGCCCTGCTGTGCTCAGTGTTATAAACACACAGTAAGAGAGTCCCTGCCCCTAACCGCTTACAGTCTTTTACGAATAATCATTTTGTTACGCTCAACTGCTGGGATCTTTTTTTTTTCTGTCCCCTACCGTAACTGTAGTATTTGAATTTTAGTGGAATCCTAGGTGTGTGCATAATATTTTTCTTAACATTTTGATTCTGATTGCAGGATTACTGATAGCAATATACTTTTCTTTCCGATTCCTTTTTGATGTTCACAACATCCAGGTTAAATTGTATTTCTCTGATTAATCCTCTTAATAAATGACTATTGCAGAGAGAGGCATTTACACTGCAGTCAGGTACTTAATTTGTTTAATTTGTTTCTAGGGGCCCAGAGGATACCTGTTTTGAGTATGGTGTTTTCCCAGCTATCCTGAGCTTCCCTCTTGATTATCCTCTAAGTCCTCCGAAGATGAGGTTCACATGTGAGATGTTTCATCCAAACAGTAAGTTTGATTCAACAGGTTGTTTTTTTTTAAAGACTTTATTTTAATACATAATTTTTTAAAGGGGCAATTGTTGTAGCAGGACATCAGGTGTTCCCACAAAGGCTATTTTCTTTCATTTAACCCCAGATCTGAAGTGTGTGGTGGGAACTCTCCTAACCAGTGGACAGTTTCATGTCTTTCTGGGACTGTCTTTTCTCCTAATCTAACTCTCTCCTATTGTGCTTTTTTGGTCATGGTACAGCAAGGGTCAGGACTCAAAAGTGAGTCTGTCTTGCATGGGGATCATTGCAGGAACTCTTGCAGTTATACTACATCTGAATTCTCTGGTGGTGTATGCCTTGTGGTGTATGGTTAGAAAAATAATCTGAATCTGGGGTAGATTCTTCTGTAACTTAAAAGTAGCTAATGTGAGAAATATTTTTAAGAAAAGAAAAAGTAGCATCTTAATGAGATTCCTGATGTGACGTTGCTGTGAGGCCAGGTGCCTCTGTTCAATACGTGGCACAGCTCAGATTCTTGGACGTGAATTTCAGCAAAGGTTTTTTTTAGTCTTTTAGTATTACAGTGTACAGTTAAAAAGACTGGAGTATCACAACCAAACTGTTTTTACGGGACTCCTCTCTGCAGGTAGGGGTTTAAAAATGTTCTACTGAATAATACTAATGCTTGTGTTCAAAAGCTCATATATTTTAAAAACCGCGCCAAATGCTATTCCAGCACTCAGTTCTCATTTTCTGAACAGGTCCATGGCATTCTTCAGAGAGCTGTTGGTTACTGATTTAATTAGTTATTAAAGCAACACACAAAATGTGTGAACCTTTTATTATGATTCAAATTATGTGCCTGGACCCATCTTCTGATTCATTGAAGTCTGACAACACTAGAGGGAAAACTCTGGTCGCACCTGCCCTGCATGTTTCCCACCCCAGTACACAAGCTCTGGAATGTCAACCACTTTAAGTTCTGGCTGAGATTTAGGTACCTGTTTAATCCATATTTCATGTCAAGCCATGGAATTTGTGCAGCTACTGATCATTCACCTACTCTGTCCTTCCTGCACATTATGGTATATTATTACATGAGCAAGAGGGGTAGTTTAATCCACCCAGCTCCCATTGCCCTTATCTCTGCCCGATTATCAAGGTTCTTGAGATCACCATGCCTGTCACCATGGGAACTGATCTCCCAGTTGACTCCTGTACAGATCCAACCTTAATGTAAGGAAAGTTCTGCAGGACTGAAGTTTTCAAGAAGCCTGGGTGACTTAGCTGTATATCATCCGTTAACTTTATAGGGCTAAAATTTTCTACACTGCTTTGAAAATCCAGCAAGTCAGCGTAGCAGTGACCAGCAGAGGGTGGAGTTCTTGGGGTGTCAGAGTATCTTATATCCAGTTGCAGGGAGGAGACTAGCAGAGTATTGTGGGGATTGGGGTGAGATCGACTCTTAATATCTCCATCTCTGTTCCGGAAGGAGTATGTTAATGAAACTTGCAGGTGAGAGTAATTTGGAATGGGTGGTGAGGACAGGGCAAAAGGCTGTAGGGAGGCTAGAAACATGGGCAGAAAATAACGAATTGTGGTTCACTTTGGAAACTACTGGGTAACAATTTTCTGAAGGTACAGTAATCCATATTGCAGAGTCATTGGGAGAGAGAAGCTTGGGCAGTAGCGATGCTGAAAAATGTTTGGCTCTAATTTGCTACCTACTTTCACTATAGAGTATTATTTTTTCTCCTGTGCATAAGATCTGATTTTTACAGCCCACCTCTGTGACCTGGGCTACAATGGTGGTAAAGTTAGTTTCTCCCTTCCTAGTTCAGGGAAGCTAACAAAACACCCATAACTTGTCCTGTTGCCTTCTGAAGGGAAAGTGTCCCCTTGGGTTCAGGAGCAGCTGTGTGGAGGCAAGGGCTGGGCAAGTCTGGTCCTCTCTGCACATAAATCATTGCTGGGCTGAGGAGCCCAAAGGGGCAAATGTATCATTTATAAAAAGCTTTTCATCTCCTCTGCTTCCTCTTCAGTTTACCCAGATGGGCGAGTTTGCATTTCCATTCTGCATGCTCCAGGGGATGATCCCATGGGGTACGAGAGCAGCGCTGAGCGGTGGAGCCCAGTGCAGAGCGTGGAGAAGATCCTCTTGTCAGTGGTTAGCATGTTAGCAGGTAAGGATTAGTGCCTCATCTGGAGTTGCTCAGCTAGGATAGCATTTCTGAAGCATGGTTAATGTCTTTACTTTGATATTTGTCTTTGTTGGGCAGTCAGAGGTCTCAGACCTTGTTCTGCAACAGCAAGATTTGTTGGGGCCATAACAGCCACCTACTGCTTTATTAATGTACCAGTACCCTAAAAATATCTGGACTGGATCAGCAAATTGGTGGCTCCAGGTTTGCATGCAACCTCACACCGCTTCTCTCCAGGCCAGTGGCACCGCCATGGAGATCTGCGAGGCACAGTTAGTGCTCTCTGCTATTGTGTTTGAAATCAGGGTTCAGTTTTTGCTTCTCACTCTGATAGGTCACCTAAGAGGTCAGTGGTTCAGGGATATCCCTGCAAGCCAATATTTCACACAGACTTCTACCCTGGAGATAAGTTTCTAAAGTTTGGCCATCTAATAACTGGAGAAGATAGAAATGTGTCCCTTGAATAATTGGTACTGAGTGATTAAAAATATAATTTAGGTGCTTAGTGCTGCTATGATGAAGGCTGACTAAGAACCTAGAGAGGTATTCTGGATGTATACACTCAGGGAAGAAATACTACAGTCGACCGTAATCACAGCATGACCATCAAGATGTAAAATCCAAGGTTTTAGGAACAGAAAACCTGAATGAACAGGACACAAAGCACTCTACTTGTTCCCATTTTTAACATCAAGACTGTCCCCAAATCAGTTCAATTCCCAGCTATACGTTAAACATCATAAGGCTTAATACAGTGATGTGTGGGCCTCCAAAGGTTTGGGTTGTGCCACCATCTTACCCAGGCTTTCCAATGCTCCAATAGCTGCCTGGACTCTTCTGTCCTCATGACTTTGTTTCCCTTTTTCCCCTTCCAAGAGACACACCTTTGGATATCTTTTGTGTAGCAGAGATTCTGGAAGCCTCTCTCCTGGACCCTGGCTGCTTGCAGATTCAAACTGTGCACTCTGGAGTTGTGCCTACCAGAGTCTGGAAACTGAAGGCAGCTGGGGCCTAGTGGAGAGGTTGCTAGAGGTACAGAGTCCCACAGTCTGATCCTCCAGGAGTAGTGAGAAAGGTTTGGAGGGTCACAGCTTGGAAGAAGCTAGGTTTGGAGATTGGCGATCCTCAGGTTAGTGTTTCAGTGCTCTGAACTGGTCAAATCATCCGTAGTTGGATTAATTTGGATCTGAAGTTCATGTACAGTCACAAGAGACTGCATGAGCTTTATTCCCCTCTTGTCATGAAATGGCTCCAATTCCTTGTGATCAAACCATGAAAGCAACCTGGCAGATGCAAGAGGTAGGAGTGGGAGCCAGGACTCCTGGGTTCTATTCTCAGTTGCCACTGTCTGTGTGATCCTTAAGAAGTAATTATGCTCCTCCTTTCACCACTGTTCTTTATTAATCTTGGGTAAGTCTCTGTACCTCAGTTTAGCTGACTGTAAAATGAGTTGCTGACCTCACAGGGGCTTAAATACTATTTGCAAAGTTCTCAGATTCTTGGATGAAGGTTGCTCTAGAAGTGAATGTGGTGTGTTTCTGGGCACTCTTCCCCCAGGTGCAGGCGATGACCTGCAGTGGTGGGGCTGGAGAGAAATCTGGGTTTTCATGAAACTCCAGAACCAGAAAGAGGTTTGCCAGGTGGCAGCCTGCAGTGTTAGAAACCTCCACTAATCTTCTGACTGCCTCATTGGTGACAAAATACTGTCTTAAGTGCTGAGGTTCAGCTGCTAAGAGATCTCCAATACCAATCACTTAAGCTTTTCCCTCCAAAAAACCCCTTGCTGAAACTCTCCTCTGTTTTCTGTGAGATATGTGAAACAAGGGGTGGGGTGGGTGCTGCATGTATAGTGGGATTTCCTCTCCAGGGGCCTCTACATTCCCCCTGGTGCAGATGGTATCTCAGGCACACAGGAAGGTGAATGTGCAGAGGCAGCATTTGAAGAACCAGAGTCCTCAGTGAGTAACCTGCCTATCTGTTGTGTCTTTCTCATTTCAGAACCAAATGATGAAAGTGGAGCCAATGTTGATGCCTCCAAAATGTGGCGGGAGGACAGAGAACAGTTTAACAGAATTGCCAAGCAGATTGTGCAGAAGTCCCTTGGGCTTTAAAAACAAAAAAGAAAAGAATGAAACTGCAGTGTTTTGTATTTCTCTCCAGTTGACAGAGAGCAGTGCTTAGTGCTGATACCAAAAAGGCAGATTTTGTAAAATCGTTGGCCTAATTCTTCCTCTTTATTCTTTTTATTATTACCCCCCCCTTAAAAAGCCTCTGGCTCACAGACTAAAACATGTAGCAAGGAGGTACATTATTAGAACTCAAAAATGGAGTCAGTCCTATTGCGAAGGCTGTTCAATGCTACCTCATTCTGTTGTATTGAAAATCTGGAGACTTTACAAAGCATGAATTTGAGCCTAGCACAGTCTTATACCCATTTGCTGCAATCCACCCCCTGGTCTCACCAGGAAAATGCACAAGCGATTGTGCATTGCCAAGCAGTGGAATCAGTCTTATTCTCCCCAGTCAGTGATTCAGAGCAAAGGTTAGTGAACAAATACGTAAGTAGCTAGGTGGTCAGCATATTCATGTTCGCAGATATTCCCATTTTGGCCACCAGAACTTGTTCCAGGGAAGGGGAGTTTTAGGTGACCTGCTACAACAATCAGCTTTACGTTTCTGCATAACATCGTACCCAAAAACGTGTGCAGAAAGCGAGTCATTTTTAGTTGTGTGATCTCATTGGGAAATTGGAAACAGTGATGATAGTCAACACCAGAGTTCACAAAAAGGTAGCTCAGTGAAGGAGGTTCTAAAACAAGAACACCTTCAGGTTGTTTTAACGTAGGTAGCGATTTTAATTTTTTTAACTAAGGTGACTCATTCTAGATGGCTAGTTCCACCAATGGCTGGTGCTCTTGGACTCAGCTGTCTAGAATAGCCCAATGTTTTTGTATCATGCTGTCAGTCTAAATCTAGCCTTTGAATCTGCTTTTGCAAAGAAGAGATCTCAGTGACTGCTGTAATTACTCCCTAAAAATATTTATTGTAACTTCCAGTTTCAATCAGAGAGGTAGGTCAGGAAATCCAGTCTTTTCGTAAACATTTTGGTCAGCTGTTTTGTTAGGTACCTGTTATGCTTATAAAAAGCACACAAGATCTTTTTATAGGGGAAAAGGCAACACACCACATTTATTGAGAATACAACAGTTAGCATATGTTTTTCAATCTCTCACACACACACATACACCATGCACACAGTCCTGCCAGTCGATGTTATAGTTACCAGTTCAGAGTCTGGATCAATCTAGTGGCCAGCCAGATTGGTTGCAGAGGGGAGCCGGGCTCTGTCATTCGTGATCCGATGCTCCTGGAGTTGTTGGCAAGACGAACCCAAAGCCCCATGGCAAAGCACCCTGTTCTTATAGTTGTTGTTCTCTGCTGAAGTCTGTGGATTTTGCTGTGTCAGTTTATGACCGGTTACTCCTCAGTGGGTGTTATCTTTTGATGGCCCAAAACACCTCCAGGAGGGTCATCCTACCTGGTTTCGATTCAATCAATTATCTTGTGTTTAAGAGTGCTAGCCTTCACCTCAGGGTCGTCAATCTGCCCCTCCTCAACCATGATGCGCGTTGATGGTTCTCTGGCATCTTTGAGTCTCTTCACTTCTCCTCCCTTGGCCATCTGGCTAACAATGGCCTTCGCACCTTATCTTTTCCTGATGCATGCATTCCTCATTCACACAAACAGTTCTTTACAGAAATCTTCAAAAGGTATCAAATAGCATTATTTTATATTGAACAAGAAAGGCATCATAAATTAGACCTTACTAAATCTTGCAACTATCTTTTCCTACATTCCTACATTCACAGGCCTGGGCCTTTGAAATTCCTCTAATCTAATTAACATAGATACAGACAAGATCCTGTCTTTTTACTTACGAGGGAAAGAAAATGGCTAAAAAGCAATATCAACTATCCTATTCATTTATTCTAATAACTTAACCCTTACTAAAAAACATGCAGTGCATATAACAGAACATAATCAATTGTATAGCACAGTACCTCTAGTACAACATACCTGCATCCTGAAATGCTACGTGGGTCATCTGTGCTCTGAAAATCGTGGGGGGGAAAATGGGCTCAGCTAGTCCTGCTGGGACAGTAAACCCTTTCCAAGATATTGTGAGATGATCTGAAACCCTGTTCTGCCAATACTTGATAGAATAGAGCACTGACTTGAGCACTTGTCATGAAAGCCCAGATAACCCACACTTCAGGTAGGGAATGTGGATTTTTGACGCTGATCTGATTTAACCCTTACATTAGCAGGAGTTGCTATTTCTAGATGCTAACTGCTCTTGCATCCCTAAGTCAGTGCTGGGGGAGATCCTTATCACTGATGCCATCCCCTAGAGGATGGAAGGATGCACACTTGCAACATTGTTCTACTGACCTCTGTATGGTATGCAGCAGGACAATGAAGAACCTTCAAACTACTCATTGTAGTGCCCAGACTGTAAAGCTGGTGTAGGGCACGTTCTGGTGTTCTTGCTTTACAACTGAACCTCTTGTCTAGGCCTGAATCTTCTGTAGGCATTTCCAGCAAATATGCTTATGCTGCAAGCAATAACATACGCCTCTGTTGTGTGTGGAATCAAATATTGTTGACTATCTTAAACAGGCTAGGATAGGAGTATCTCTTTTTGAATGAAAAGAACCAAGAAATCAAATTATTGGAATAATTACATTATTGAGAGAGCTTTGCTGAGTGAAATATATGTATATTGTTCTCATTTCAGTATCTGGTGGCTTGCAGTTCATATTGCATATGCACATGTGCTGCATGTCACTCTAGGATGTCATCTTTATCCATCACTGAAGAGACTCTGGGCTGGGATAACTTGCTGGATTTACCTCCATTATAGGGAGTAATTCCTCTAGGTTTGGAAGAAGACTAGTTTTGGGTGCAGGAAGATGATGGAGTAGTATTGTACCCAACTAGTATTTGCAAATGTACATGAAGATGTAGCTTTTGTATGTGGAGTGAAGGCATTTTATGCACTAGATAGATGCAGTGTAGCTTGTGGAGTACCATAATCACATTAGGAAACAGCTTCCGAAAGGAAGGGGCTGTATGCCTGATTCCAGACAGATTGTGATCAGTCAAGAAAGGGACATGGCAGAATTAGTCTTGTTTTAAAAGCAAAATATTTTTATTCATGTGTATTATGGTGGAACTTAATCTGTATATTGAAAATAAAGTGATATTTTCTCCTTTCGCAAAAGTATAAGAATGTATTTCTCCTCAGTTGTTTCTTTCAGTAGATGAAAAGATAGATAGCCAGAAGAGTCCAGTTTTGACTTGGGCCCCATGTGGGAAAGGATATAGTCCACGGGAGAGATCTTCAAAAAGACAAAGGGTCATAAGAATTGCCAGGCGGGGTCAGACCCAAGGTCCATCCCATCCAGTATCCTGTCTCTGACAGTGGACAGCACAAGCTGCTTTAGAAGAAGGTGCAAGAATCCTGCACTGGGCATGAAGGTCTCCTGATCTCTAATAGCAACAGCTCAGCTTAGACATGAGGTTTAATGTCCATTCCAGGATTTGTGTTTGCACTAGCTCTTACGACTCTGGAAATGAGCAATTTGATGTCCATCTCACATTGACTTTCAATGGAAACTGGGCATCCAACTCCCAGTTGTCTTTGGAAAATCGCCACATCCCCCTGAATCTGTCCTCTCAAAACGAAAACGGTATTTTTAGTGACATGGAACACATGGATTTCAAAGAAACTAAGCATTGAAAGGCAGGGCAGATTTGCTACATCAAAATGGCTTAAATCATGACTAAAATGAGTAGTAAAAACACTATTTAAATCACCAATTTTAATAACTTCTATTTAGATTTTAAAAAGTTATTTCCCAGTGTTTGGTTTGAGAGCTGAAACTTGCCTTGTTCGGGTAATGCGATCTGTTTGTTCTTTTTTCTCATGTTTATGCTATGGCCAGAATAGGTGAATGTTATTTACTGTACTACATAATTTATTCCTTAAAGTGTTTAAACTTCAATTAAACATAACACAGCGTGTTAGAATAGTTTTGTACTAGTTGCAAATGAAAAATAAAACTTGTTGATTCAAATACTGTAGGTGAATCAAATAACTGCACAATTGACACACTTCATCCAGAAAGATCAGAGTACTTCACAAACCTGAGGCACGCAAAGGTCCCATTGCCGAAATGCTTCACCTGTGACGTCGCAGCCATTCTGTGCCAGCAACTCTGCACCTTGTAGACTTCTTTTCAGCTTAGGAACAGCGTATGGAATTCTATTTGATAAAGCTGCTGCTGTGATATTGGATGGTCTTCAATGAAAGGAGAAACCTTCTTTCCCTTTTAAAAAGAGATTCATGTTCACAAATGCTGTAATACTAGCCCCTAGTAACAGTTCTGATCAATTTGCCTTTTTCAGTGTCTGAAACAATTCAATCAGAACTTGTTCTCTGGGGAGTGTCAGAACTACAGGTATCGTACAGTGAAATATGCATGCAAGTAACTTTTTAATAATGTTACCTCTCTCTTTGGTGGATTGTTTGCTTTAGGCTTTATTAGTTTAAAAGGATACTAGCAGCATCCTTTTTAAAGGTCCCCCCTCCCGCTTTGGCAGAACGCACACAGTGGGAAATGAGAGGTTCTTTGAAAATACTGTTGTACTAAAGGTGTTGGAACCACATTAAACAGAGTCAGCAGGAGAGCGGGGGGGGGGGGGGAAGAAGGGAGGGGAATGGATTCTCACCAGCTTCTTTGACCAGTTCTGACTTCATAATCAATGTCATGAATTGAAGGCATATGCCTTAAATGAAACAAATGTGCTCAGTTTAGCTTATTCCTTGGGTAAAAGCTCTACCAGTTGTAGAGTTTCTCTTGTAACTTACCATACTTTCCTCTTCCCTTGCCAACGAGCCCTAGCTCAGTAAGCCTGGAGGTGAGAAGAGACTACACTGCACGGCAATCCGAAAGTACAGGCATTGTTCATTGAGGTACCCAGGATTGGACATCTTGGCCCTTAAGGAAAGCACCTAAATAAGTGGCCTGATTTTTCTGGGGCATTGAGCATCCTTATCTTGCTCTGAGGCCAATGGGAGCTGCTGTCTCCCTATTTGAGAAGATAAATAGAGCCTTTAGGTTCCAAACTTTAGGCATCCAGCTTTGAACCTGGGGGTGGAACCTTTTCATCAAGTCAGTGGAAGAGCTCAGAGTTGAGTATTTGCCATAGCAGATCCATACCTTGGTGGTGTGAGCAATTTCCTAATCACACTGTCTTCTCAAGTGCTGTCCGTGGTACTGTTTAGATTGTAAGCTTTTTGAGGGAGGGACTGTCTTACGAGGTGCCATGGGGTTTGCTTCAGTCTGTCATTGCCTTAGGAATCCCACAGGAACATCTAGCTGGCTGACGGGAGGTGCTGGTGTGGCTGCAGCCCCAGACTGAAGGTAAAACCTTCCCTTGCCCCTTTCCCCCCCTGCACTTTGGCCCATGGTCTAATATCCCCATTGGCCAACTCCCACTTCTGGGGCTGCTACCCATCTGGCTCCTGTTTCGTCTCTTCCACCCCTCCCTCCTAGTCCTCTCCTCAACTCCCTGTGAGTGGTTAGAGAACCCTGTTCCTCTGCCCATTTCCAGTGCTGGCTTCCCATGAGCCCAGAGCCAGGCAGGGCTCCCAGCCACTGCAGCACTGGATTTTCACAGCAGCAGGGCACCAGCACTGGGGTCCTCAGGGGCCGTAGGGCTGAGCTCACCACTCTCCAGGCTCTGGCTGGCGTGAGAGGGGAGGAATGGGAAGGATTAGCTCTTCCCCTCCCCCTGGGGAAATAGACTCCCCAGGCATGGTGGGGGGAAGATCCCCCAGAACATGTGACAGGCTAATGAGCCCTTCTATATTCCATTTAATGGGTCCACAAGTCTCACTGGTTTATAATAAACACCCCACACAGCTCCTTCCTATAACTGAGTCCTGCTCAGAATGGGTTTCCCATTTTATACCACCTCCCCCTGTGGCCCCCAGCACCACCTGGGAAATCCAGTGGCAAATGGGTGCTTTGGGGTGCCCATCTACTCTCTTGTTCAGTCGGTCCCCCAGCCCTCACCTCTCCTTGATGCCCTATCCCCTAATCTCCAGTAGTGATGCTAGGATGATCCATCACCATCCGGATAAACCCCTCTGCCCCACTAGCCTGACACTGGGTGGGGTTCCAGGCACA